GTTAATTTATTGGCTTATATTCAACCGATAAGGCCGCCGGTTTTATCGACAAAAAATTTTTGCCATAAAATTTAACAGTACGTCCAGGTTTTCCTATAGTGATAATTTAAAAAACATTAGTTGAAAGATGTTAGACTATGAAAACTTCTTACCTTTACTTCCAACTAGGGCCTTGGCCAATTCATAATTGCTTCAACTTTGGTAGTATATGCTTCAACTTCTATGGTTGACAAAATAAAGCCCAATAAATTTATTTTACAATATAGAAATTGACATTTCTTTGGTGAGCAAACAACCTTTGTTCTCACGGTATTTCTAATAACTTGCAGAAATGATGAAGGTGATACACCTTATTGAAACTGTAAACTAATATGTCATTGAAATATACAACTATAAATTTGCACAAAAAAAAGCTAAAAAATTTTATTCATAAGCTGCATAAAAGTATTTAGGGCATTAGACATCCCGTGTGGCATAACAATCTATTCATAGAATCGTTCTTTAACTTTGTAAATGGTTCTCTACTCGCCTTCTGCACAAATTCAAATATGATGATAACTGCTCGTTAAGTCTATTTTAGAGAATAAAGTGCTCCATGGAATTGATCAAAGAGATTATTATCTATGCGAGGTATTAATTTTAAATTGATATAGGATTGTAATTTTATTAATTGCTCTACTATTGATATACATTAGATATGTCTCATTTTTTTTGGAACCAAAAGTGCAGAACTGACCCGCAAGGGCTAATGCTGGGTCAAGTGAATCCCATTGTGTGTAGCCCTTCCACTTGACGACGTAGCTATTCATGTTCATCTAGGTTCAATATGAATGGGGGGTTTGTTGGGAAGTGTAGCTCCATGTATTAAATCCACTACTTGTTGAATTTCCCTTTTGGGAGGTAGGCCATCAAGTATATCTTTAGTAAAAACAACTTGAAACTCTAACAAAAATCACTCGATCTCGATGCTATCACTAACAACATATGCAAATGTTTCTTTAATACGTAGTAAGTATCATGTATTTAGATCTAATAAAGATTATAAACAATTAGAATGATTCAACATTAGTTATTCTGCTGCTACTCCCTTGATACTAACGCTAATGAAACCAGTGCAATTTGCATTCAACAATGGATGAAAGAATAAGTATTGGATATTCTATCATGTATGATTTGATGATCATACTGTCATGGCCTTCTCGACAATAGATGATACAGATCCATTAGTACCACATCACACCAAACTTGTTGTTTGGAATTTCCAATAAAAAAATTAATCAAGTGCCCCTCATACACCTCAACTTCATTCTCCTTATATATCCAAAATATTTTGTAAAGATTAGGTTATTCCTCTGTTGATAATTTAAGCCTCTTCTCCATTTTAATGGATGCTACATATATTCTCACAACTCCCACTATCAATGAACATTTGACACACCTAACCATGTATAGTACACCTAGTTCTGAAAATATTATGTCGTTGCATCAATTGTTCTTTCTGCACATTAAGCAGGCGATGAAGAACCAGAAATTGACCTCCATGAGCTTGTATGATGTAGGGTTCTTGGGGTTTCCTCAATGACTACCCAGATTAGCTTCGATGGTGTCCAGTACTTCATGTTCAACGCCTTCTATAATTATGATTATGTAATGATTTGAACAGTTCGATGCAATATGCCCAAATCCATGGCAATTTAAAAAATTTAGGATATAATTCAAGTTTTTTTTAGGGAAAACCCACGGAGGGGCCTACATGTTAATAAAATAATAGGATTACAAGGTCCTTAAAAGGAACCTTCAGCTCACTAATGCTTAAAAGAGCTATAAAATAAATCAAAATAAAACATAAGAGCTGTTGGTTCCTTATATTAAGACATACAAAAAATCCTACAAATTAAATATACTAGGGATGCAAGTAGACACCCAAAAAAGGAAGAACATGAAAAAACTAATCAGCTCTAACTTCCTGCAAAAAAAATTACAGGTTAAGCCATACATACAAAAAAATCCTTGAACGTGCGATCTTCCTGGAAAAAATGCCAAGACAATCATCCAACCTCCAAATCTGCAAAATGAAGAAGCTCCAAGACAAGGGGATAAAGTCGCAAGAAGGTTGAAACAGTAGTAAAAAAGCAATAAAAGTTAACAATTTTGATTAATATAAATAGATAAGGTAGCAAACCAAATGTCTGGCATACTATCAGAACAAATTAATGTAGGTGGTTACAACAGCCTTCTAAGTGACATAAACAATCCAAAAAAAATAAAAAAAAAATCACATATTTTCCAAAGAAGATGAATTAGAACAGTTATCGACAATATACCAGGAATGAGCTTACTCAAATGTAGAGCCCCAAATTTGAATTGAATATTAATAAGGATCATCAGATAACTGGGGGTATAAAATACACACCAATAGAAGTCCCAGAATTACAGCATCCTACCCACAAAACCCTCAGTAAAATATCCAAATAGCAGTTAACATCACAACCTACCGAACAGAAACATAGAATATTGAAGGGGTGAGAGTCCCACCACCTCTAGCAAATAACACCACTCCACAACTTCCTCCAAACATTCCTCCACCTCCTCCAAAACAGAGCAGATATAATCGAGAAATTAAAATGGATAGGCAAAATAGAGAACCAGTTACCCGAGATGCACCAATTAGCAGAAAATAGAGAAACAATAACTGGTGGCATAAAAAACATGCCCACAGAAGTCCCAGAAGGGCAATAGCCAACCAAAAAAGCCACCAGCAACTTATCCAGATAACAATTAGCATCCCAATCCATCGAACAAAAATATATAAAATTAAAGGGAATAGATTCCCACCACGTACCACCAATAAATAACATGACTCCACAACCCCTTCCAAATAGCCCTCCACATTCTCCAAAACATAGCATAAAACACTCATAATACAAAACGAATAAGTAAACCATAGAAATAGAGACCCAATAAGTAGCTACGAGCAAAAAATAGAGAAATAAAAATGAGAAAATAATACCAGAAAGAACCATCAAACATTACGTATATAAGGAAGCATGCATTTGTCCAAATTAACCAAGTCTTTCAACAAAGTGGGAAGATTAGAGACATCAAACTCCTGAAAATCATTAATTTGACCCCCAAATTTGGCCAACCAATCCACACAAGAGTTGCCTTCCCGATAAATATCAGAAATAGAGTAGTTAAGAGCAACTAGAGATTGCTTAATTTTTCAAATAATATAGAAATCATGAGGATTACCAAGCACCTCTATGAATAATCTGAATTAATAACTTAGCATCAACCTCAATAGCCACATGTTCACTACAGGAAAACACGCGAATACCGTCGGATTTTCCGGCGGAAAATTCTGGACGGTAATAAACGGCGTAGTTACCGGAGGATTTGCTCGACGTAAAGTTTGCATCAACGTTTTAGGCGCAAAATACGCCGTAAAGTCACCGACGCAGGTTCCGCCGGCAACTCCGACGGTATTGGGATGCCTCAACCATTTGGGGGGGGGGGGGGAGAGAGAGGAGGGGGTGAGGAGGGGTGTTAAACCACCTCACAACACACTCAATTTTTTTTACCGGTCCACCATCTTGAGTTGTTATGAACCTGATTCATATTTCCTTATGCTACGTGGTTGTATTTCCAACTGCAACATTCTTGGCTCTGGTAGTTCTCCACTCCAAAACTCCTTCACAAGCTGCCCATCTTTTCAATGTATGTTTGATGCCCTTTTGCAGCTTTTCTACCTTTAAATCTAGATCCATGACATCATGCAATGTCCAAAAGGGTTGTAATTGCACCACATTGGCAATATAATGTTATAATCCTCTCAAGAATCTTCTTATAATATTGTTAAAGGGTCCATCAAATCGTATTTGAGAGATAATTGTTTGAGCTCAACAACATACTCTTCCATCATGAGCTGGTTTTGTTGGAATCAATGCAATTTCAAGAACATGTTAATACCTTAATGATATTAGAGTTAAGCAATCTTGCTTCGTTTTCATTTGTCTGGTAAGAAACTTATTTTGACTATCAACTCATAGAATTTTGATGTTGTTTGATTTCTTAAATGATTTTATTCAATTTCAAATTATGCTTTCGAATATTAGATTTAGACTTCATTTTAGATTGCTTCCGTAAATCTTTCAAAGGCAACTTCCTACTAAAAAAAAATTTGATTCAAGAAATTTTTGTACTAAAAAATACATTATAAAACAATAAGAAAGCTGTCTCAAATGAAACCTTTGTATTAGTATTATATTCTTATTGGTGAATCACATAATTTCATTGATTAAGATTCTAATTTTAATCTGGAATATTAATAATTGTCAGAATTTGTATTTAATATGCTGAATTTTTTTTTTGTGAAAAATCAATGCTAATATTATCTAATATAAATTAATATTAAATTACATAGATATTTTGGTTGATTTTCATACTAGATGAATAAGATAAAAGATGCTTGTGAAAAATTACATTATAAATGTGTACTTAGGCTTTGTTTATAACAACTTTTTTATTGCTTCTTGAAACAGTTTTTTAGTACCAAAATTTTAATTTTGTACTAGAAGCTACTTCAAGAAGAAGCAAAAAAGCCGTCCCAAATGAAGCCTTATTAGAAATAAAAATCATTTTTTGGTAAATTAAGTAGCATACAAGTAGGAAAAAAAAAATCTTTGCTTAAAAAAAAAAATCTTTGTTATCAGAATGAGAAATTTAAATTTATTCATGCAAAGATATTATTAATTTTCTAAATTATACGCAATGAAAAATTTTGATGTTGTCTTGCCATTGTCGTGCATATGTTCACATTGAATCTACTTTGTCGTATAAAAAAATTATTTTTTTCCTCAAAAAAAGAAAAAATTATCTCATGGGAACTAGAGCTACACTAGGAACTGTTGCGCAGACTGATAAGACCGAGGGGTAACAGTCATTGACGAGGGGGGTGAGAGAGGAAGGGTTCCTGATATGCTTGGGGAGCAAAGGTAAGGACAGAAAGAGCAACGTCAGTAGACGCTGTGGGTGTTGAATGGGTGGACGACTATACTCTTCCACTCATCCAAATAGACCTCTCTCTCTCTTCAAAAAAATTCCTTCCACCTCGACCTCTCCCTCTCTCTCTCCCTCTCTCACACATAAAATTCCTTCCACCTCTTTCTTTTCTTCTCCTTCATCATCTCGTTTATCATCGATAGATCTCTCTCCAGGAAAATACCACCGTTAGACCAGTTTCTCTGATCTCCTTTTTCCTGTGTTTCTGTTTTAATCAGAACTCAATAGCTTTGCAAGGACTGCCTTATTTTTGATTTCGTATAACTTGGGTCAGTACGGCATCTTAGTTCATCTATTTGCATGATTAATTTGATCAACAGGAATTGATGCAGTTCCTTCTGCAGGTATAGTAGTTTATTCCATTCATGTTTGCTCCTCTTTCTCTGATTTCTTTTTGTTTAATTCTATTCAATAATCCTATTGTAATTTAGATCTGAATCTTTCTTCTTCTTATATACACGCGTAAGGAATGATTGCTAATTAATTACCTTTTAATTTTCTCTTGCAGAATGGAGGTATATCCCTCAGATTCATTCCAGGCTTTTGAGTACTAATTAGTGCGCCTTTCCTGAGCTCCGGATTCCTTCTTCCTCCTACTCTATTAATTATATTACACTCATGCATATATAGATCTGCCTTTACTGCCTAAACTTCTCTCTCTCTCTCTGTCTCTCAATACCCCAACCGATCTTTTCACTTCACCACAGCAAACCAACCATTGCTTGATAATGATGAAAGGTCTCATAATCCCCTCACAGCACCAGCTACTCGATGAAAACATGTCGAACTTAACCTCAGCCTCCGGCGAAGCCAGCGTTTCCTCCAACCAACAGTCCTCCTTCGCCTCCCCGAACCCTAACCCTAACCAGCAACCTGCAAAGAAGAAACGCAACCTTCCAGGCAATCCAGGTATATATACAAATATATATATTTATTTCAATTACTACGCATCCATACTTCATCTTTACTCTTCCCTGAAACAAGCTATGTATTAATCTTTCTACAGACCCCGAAGCCGAGGTGATTGCTCTATCCCCAAAGACACTGATGGCAACAAACCGCTTCATCTGCGAGATCTGCAACAAAGGGTTCCAACGAGACCAAAACCTTCAGCTCCACCGGCGAGGCCACAACCTTCCTTGGAAGCTCAAGCAGAGAACGAGCAAGGAAATGAGGAAAAAAGTTTACATCTGCCCCGAGGTCACGTGCGTCCACCACGACCCTTCCCGTGCTCTCGGTGACCTCACCGGCATCAAGAAGCACTTCAGCCGCAAGCACGGCGAGAAAAAATGGAAGTGCGATAAGTGCTCTAAGAAGTACGCCGTACAATCCGATTGGAAAGCCCATTCCAAGATCTGCGGCACGCGTGAGTACCGCTGTGACTGCGGCACTCTCTTCTCTCGGTAATTACAAATTAACTACCCATGATGTGCTAGCTTCTTCTATGTTTATTAATTATGAAAACTTAATTTGCAGGAGAGATAGTTTTATAACCCACAGGGCTTTCTGCGACGCGTTAGCCGAGGAGAGCGCGAGGACGATGACGGGTACTGCGTTGGCAGCTACTCAGCACCCACTGCTCTTTTCGGCGAATCAGCCTCTTGAAGCTGCGATGCAGTTTCCTCATTTGATAAGAGCGGGGGCTGAGGGCGGGGGGCAGGGCTTGCAAGAGCTTACTCTGAAGAAGGAAACACAGCAGCCAGCTTTCCCGGCATGGTTGGGAGCTACAGCTTCCCTTAATCAACTTGACATTCCATCTACTATTTATACCTCAAGGATGGAGCAGGAGTACTCGCAGGAGAATCATCAGGCGAATGGTTTGGCTCATCATTTAATTCAAGGGCCGGCGGCTCCGGCACACATGTCGGCCACAGCTTTGCTGCAGAAGGCGGCGCAAATGGGTGCAACGATGAGTAGGCCGACTCCGGTGAATTCACAGATGGCTGGCCATAATAATGGGAATATTGTCAACCCTCATGCTTCAGGTGGTTCTGGTGTGTTCGGGCTAGGATTATCTAGTTCTAATCACAACGAATATATTGGAGTGAATGGGTCAACAGCAGGTGCTAGTCCATTTCTGCATGATTTGATGATAAATTCTCTTCCACAAGCTGGTTCTGGATTTGAATTGGGGTCATTTGAGGAGCATTATGTGGGCGGTGGGAATGATGGAATGACCAGAGATTTCTTAGGATTGAGAGCTTTTTCACACAAGGACTTGTTTAATTTAGCCGGGTTTGAGACTTGCATGAGTAATTCTTCTTCATATGAGCATCAGAATAAGAAGCCATGGCATGGTAACTAAGCTAGCTTCTGTGTTCTACAACTGGTATGAATGCTATGATTTTTTTTTTTTTCTTTAAAGAAGAGAGGAAAGAGGGAGCTAGCTGGCAACTGGTTACTTCTATGTTGTTTACTATTTACTATATATTTCTGTCTTTTTCCTTTTGTCCAAATGGGTGAAAAGCTGGTTCCTTCCTGCTTCCACCCATCACTCATTTTGTGGCAGCTATCAGAAAACTCATAAGCAGCTAGAGATAAATAGTTGGTACCTTGAAATAGTTGTTGTTGTATGAATGTCATTGCTTTTATCTGTGTAATAAAACTTGTTAATTATATACTCTTTTCATGCTAAGGTTTGAAATATGTTTATATAGTTTATTTTTATGTTATTGTTACTTCACAAATGCTTTGTAAGTTGAATGAACAAATAAAAATGTTTCATTATTTTAGGGCATTATAATTTTATAAATTTTTTTCTTTTACAAAGTTGTCATAAAATCTTTTTTTTTTTAGAAAGTTTTTATTTTTTTATTTTTTTGAAACTCACTTGTCTCCCCTATATATACCTCCAAAGGAATATCTTTTCATTGCCTGATATATTATGTTAAGAATTGCTATTAGTCCTCATTTTAGAAATAAAATATCTGTTTCAAATAGTTTGGTTAAATATATTTATTGCATTTTTACGGAAACATATATATATATATATATATATATATATATATATATGTTTCCGTAAAAATGCAATAAATATATTTAACCAAACTATTTGAAACAGATATTTTATTTCTAAAATGAGGACTAATAGCAATTCTTAACATAATATATCAGGCAATGAAAAGATATTCCTTTGGAGGTATATATAGGGGAGACAAGTGAGTTTCAAAAAAATAAAAATAAAAACTTTCTAAAAAAAAAA